GCTGTTCTAAATTATATAATAATTAATTATAGTACCAACATTGTACTATTCGTTTTGTGCATACTGAATATTTATTAGTTTACTACCTACTACATTTCTGATAATCTGGATGATAAAAAATGACAATAAATTATCGTTTTTCAATACGTGAATTAGAATTACAACGAAATATGTTATATGCAGACACGTTTTTCTCTGGGAATAGTTGTTGTTGAAAAAGAAAGCACGGGCAGTAACATAATTGACAATGAATCGATACTTGTTATATCATATTTTATTCAATTTTAGTAATAACATCGTGTTCACAATACACCGAGAGTTCAAACGGCTTGTGAAATGCCGCGATGAGTTGAAATTCAACGATAGAATAAAACATATTATAATATTATATACATAGTTATATATATATATTATATATATATATAGCACCGTAATAGCGTATAGGTATGAGCGAATAGGCACATTATAGTAATTCGTATTGTTTGACCGTCAACACTAAACAGTATAAAAAATCGACTGGGATTCAAACAATTCAAAACACCGAAACACGTACGCATCACATTCTGTAAGTCGATTTACGCGTACCAACGGATGACGTGGTCCTCGTACATAGAATGTTTTAATATTATTATGTTAGGCATAGATGTACAGACTATAGTCGTATAACTATATACTAACTGTGTAGCAACCAAAGTATTTTTTACATTTTAGCATTTTTAACGACTTATTGAAACAACGACAAAATCGTACACAATATAAGCATGTATTACAATAAATATTAAATAATATGCACACATCATCTGTTCTCTGTTTGTACATTGTTATTACGTGTTGGCACGCTCATATCGTGTATTTATATAAATACGAATTATAAGAAACATGTAACACACCTATGCTTAACTACAGAGTTAGCTCGTGTGTAAGGTGGCCCCCTTTATCGCGTACGAGGGCCGTCGACTATGCCTTAGCGGAATGTCATTCTATAAATGGGTGTTTTTGCGGATCTGCTATATTGGAATATTATCGAAGGCACTTAAAACGCAATTTGACTTGATGAGACGTACGCGCTTATTGCAGATTCGAACGTGAAAGTATTTAATTCGCTTCGACGCGTAGGTGTGCGGTGTTGCTTGTGTACATTATATCATGCGCGATGCACCTATATATTAATATATTACTAATAACTATATTATGTCGACGTATTGTAAAACTAAAATACATAATATCGTGTTATTGTATACCAAAATGTTCAGTAGGTACATGTATCGTAGAAAAAATTTGAAGTGTACCTAGTTTCGACGGGTATAGAGTTTGTATTTATTGCCTGGGTATATACACCGTAGTAGTGTAGCTGCAGTTTAGATTCCTCTTTTCAGTTTTCATGACGTGCGTGGGAGAAATTAAAATAAAATTACTTTTCATTTTATTTTCCATTGTTTAAATGCTGACACCTGAATAATACTTATTAGTCATTATACTTTATACTGAATGTCTTTTGTCTCTGTGTCCATCACTGGATTTGGAGGTATCCTATTCATTATTTATACAATTTGGACGAAACAAGGTTACGACTTACGATATTATTCTGTCTTTCTCATTGTGTTTAAACTCCAAACAAGACGAACGTAATATGTGATATATACGCAGGAATATAGGTACGCACCTCTTGTGTATACCTGCAGCTATATCGGTAATTAAAATTTAAAAATTGTATACAAAACGACTGTTCTTGCGTGTCGGCGAAGAAAAATGACCATATCGTCTACGTAGTGTTGTGGTCTAACCGTCTAAACTAGAGAAAATGGATAAAAAATTATAATACAATGTCGACATCATGAATGGAATAAGAGTGCGGCTGGTGGTTCGCGTATATATATATGTGTATACGTAAAACGCGGGAGGGAAATATAACCCGATACAGAATTGACAGACAAACCATAACAGTCATCGTTGTCATTGCCTATCGAACGGAACGAAAGTGAAAACCCTAGTTTCCATTTCAATATATTTGTATGTAATATATATTATATGTGTTTAACTTTTTTTACGCGAGTGTTTCAAAATATTTAAACATTAACGTGTTGTAAAATATTATATACCAATTTTATTATTATTTTTAATTTTTTTAATTTGGCGTTAAGGAATTTTCAGCACGTTAAACCGTATACTGCTTCAGGTATGAAAACAATTTAATATTTTTGTTGATGCATATATTATACTTGTTCATATATATATATATATTGTATATTGGCTACATAATATATACTAACAAAGTAACAAATGTTTGAGAGTTTGAATTTTGTACAACCATTTGAAGGCTCCGGATCGGAGCCTCCGATAGATTTCTCAGGGTCGTTTATAATATACGTATGTATATATTGATATATACATAGCAAGTACCACATGACCATGAAACTGCACAACTATGGAATATCTTACTGAACTTTTGGTAAAACGATTGTTAGAGAATATTATTAACTATTGTTTGTATTGATATTCAAATATTTAGTAAGTCGTTGAAATATCTTTGCGATAATTTAGTTTAAAAATATACGGTGCGCTTGCAGTCATAATAGGTGATAAATATAAAAATAATAATAATTTATGCGGTGTATGGTAATGTGTTGGCTGAGAAAACAAATATATAATTACTATAATTAGGTATTTATACTTTTTATTCGTATGAGCCATTAAGTGCTTATTAAAAAAATTATTTTTTGTTTAATATCGTTTCCTGCGGGCTGCGGATGGTGGATCAGAGTATATCATACATTGATACACTATAATAGAGTTACCTATATAATGTATGTACTATACATTGTACGTCTATAAATAGATCAATATTATTTTGTTGCAGTTTTATCAATATATTATACATCGTTAGTCAAATTATGCTTTACAAAATCGGCGGAGATCGCATTTGATTTTAATTAATCCTCATCAATTTTTGCAATGAAGTATTTTATTGATTTTGTATAGACTGTATATGTGTGTATTATATTTATTATTAATTACTTCAAGATGCTTTTATTGATACGAACAATATACTATCTTGAAGTTAAACTTTCAAGGACTGTGTATATTGTCTCTTGAATTGATTTTATAAGAGGAATATGGTTTCGAGGCACCACAATCTCTATTCGACGATTATAATCGTGGATACCCAGAGTATCGCTCTTGTGACGTATATTCTATTCTATGTGGTGGACCTGAAAACAACTTGTGTGCCTATTATCTACCCCGTCCCGTTTAATCATATCGCTATTAATTTATTAATTTGACGATTAATAGTGTTATCCCGCAGTCAAGGTATACCTATTCATATTCCATCGTGATACGACACCTTCAAATTCGGTGGGCGAGTCTATAAATACAATTCTTGTGAACGAATATAAAGTTGTTTTTTTCTATCATTGTTAAGACTTCCAATATTTATTCCAAATTCCGACGCAATAAGTAAATTGAATAATGTTCGTAAAAAAACATAATGAGGGAAGCCCTATTCATTGATAGAACCCTTCATGACAGCGTTTTAAATTTAATTTCAAATAAGTTAATTCAGGGTGTCTCGACACCAACAAATTTGATGCGACGCGAGGGGTTATCAGAAAGAATGTGATAAAAAGAATGTGAATTTACCATCACACGATGGTAAATGAAAGATTAAAGGGTTTTGGATTTGGATGGTGTTAGAGTCTCGAGTGAAACCGATTGAAGTAGATTTTGGGTAGTTGGTCAACAGGATCGATATTTAAATCTTAATGTAAATAGTCATAGATTACAAATCTGCGATTGGAATTTAAGATGTTTCCCCCCGAACGGGACAAAATCCCCCCGGACAAAAACAAAAAGTTGCCAAATGCCAATACAAAATTCACTTACATAAATATTAAAAAATATATGAAACACTATAAAAGTACAAATTATAAATACTTAAATAAATATGATATAATTAAATAATACAGGTAAAACAAAACGTATCAATTATACTTTTTATCCTGGTAATACAGCTCAAATATCATCATTTGAAAAACTTTTACATATTTTTTTTAACCTGTCTTCTTTATCTAAATCATTACAAAAAGCGTCTTCTCTATGGTTTAAAATGTCTATTGATTCGCTTGAGTTACTCATCTGTAGAGCTTCAATAAAAACGTGAATGATGATTGTATATTTCGGGTAAAACCAAAGAACCCATTTTCCGACCTATTATATTCATCGGCTTCATGTGTACAAAAATATGTATATATTGATTCAGGTGGGAAATGTCTCTGTCCGGGGGGGGAGGGGGGACGTCCAGTACCGCTAAAATTAACGGAGGAAACGTCCAAATACAATTAAATTGTGTTGTCTGAGATAGTTTAGCGTGTCCCCAGATTTGCTACCGTAAGCCCAAATGGGCCTCAGTAAAGATTTGTATGGTGTGTGGATTTCGTGTGAACTGATAGTTAAGGTTTAAACATAAGGCAAAGGAAATGATGGTAGTTATTGATAATATTTTGCGTTTTAGACTTGATGAGGACCCCAAGTAAGTCGTTTGATCATTATTATCCCCAGTTATTTGATCTGATGAAATATATATATACATTATATATTACATTATTTGTATACAATTATAAAGTTTTACTTGGTTTTTTATTACAACTCGTGCAGTTACAATATGTACCTACAGATAACACGAATAGGTTAGGTATGTTTGTAGAACACAATAGCGATTCGAAAATATAATATGTTTACTCTCGAATTTCTTGAATTGGAAAACAATTAGTAGAGGGATGCAATAGCGTAAATAAAAAGCACTTACCTACCTGAATATTTAAATGCGTCTCAAAGGGACTCCATCCTCCGTCGTCCCCTCTCGATTCAAACACTGTGGCTCACTAAAGGGGTGGGTATATATTTGTTCGATGCACCCTTATTTTGTAGACACTGTATAAACATAACCTACCTATAAGCACGTGTGACATATTGTTATTAACAACAATTGATATAATGCACAGGTGATGCTATTACTACACTGCTTGGCATGCTTAGCCGCTGCTACTACGGGTGCGGTGCTACCACCCCCTTGGGCGGACCCGTCTCAAAATCCGTGTGCCGCTGAACCATCGGGCGGATGGCAGTTGCTCTACTGGCCAGACGATAAGAAGTGCTACCGAATATTCCAAAGAGGGTACCCATGCCCGGAGACGATGGAATTGGTGCCGCGACCGGACCGCAAGGGTTCCGCGGAGTGCGCATGTCCGCCCGGCAGCGTCCGTAGCGCTCGCGACTCTCGTTGCCATCCGCTATTCCGGCTCGGTGGTCCCTGCGACGACGGCCAGTACTTCGCACCCGACCTGGACAGGTAAGTGATCATCATCGTCCATCGATAGTCGATCGGTTCTATTTTTTAATTGGCCACCGTTCAATACTGTATTGATAATAATGATAGTATACATAAGTTGGATGACAACGTGTTCCTAGTCGTTTTTCGTTAAGTTTTTTTTTTAGACAAATATTACATTTTTGATCTCGCAGCAGAATACATTTTTAAAAATACCAATATGTATACATTTGCCAAATATCAAACAATTCATTTTTTTTTTATCGACATTTGAGTTTGAAAGGACGCGCAAGATGAGCAGTGAAACTCAACTTTTGCTGATTACAACGGCCAATATTTATGTACATTTAGTTTTAGAATAGACAAACTTTTGTAAAAAAAATAAACATATTCGTTTGTAACACATTTTCGTAGCTAGACAATTATTCAGTTTCTTAAAACAAAAAATTGCCAACTGATATGAGACATAATTGGTTATTATAAATATTTTTTTCTTTTGGTAAAAATAATTATTTATAACAACAAGAAAATTTTGACTAGTTAAATAAACACCCGCCCCCTTCGTTACTCGGTTGTCTTTCGAATCTCGATCGCTTAATAAAAAGTATAGTGGTAGTGTATAATATATTAATATAGTTTATACAAAGCTATAGTTATTACTATGGTTGGTTTTCTAATCAAAGATTGTACTTAATGCGAAAGCAGTCCACCTCGTCCACAGTTAAGGGTTGAAACGGTTTAAGTAAAATCTTTAAAATAAATCAACTCTCTTATAGGTATAACCTATAGCTTTAACCTAGTATATTGCAGAGTAAGCCCGATCAGTATATAGTTCATTAAAACAATATAATACCTATACTGTATCCAACTCTCAACTCACTCCGCTAAAAATTTATGTGATATTATATTAAATTTGTATTGTGTATTCCACAGGGATGACCGGGAGAGGTGGGGAATATGCGAGGATCCATCACCGTGCGCGGAAAAAGACGAACTATTTTGGCCCAAAGACAAGCGCTGCTATCGCAAGCACGCCAGAGGACCATGCACCGAAGGACAGCTATTGGTGCCCAGCACCATGAACGATTTAATCGGCGACTGTAGATGTGAAAACGTTCCAGAGCTCGCGACTTACTTTTGGGCACCTGCAGGTTAGAAATAATAGTACAGCTACATGATATAATATTATATATATTTACAGTAAAAAATAGATTTTAATACACCTACAGCTGCTAGTGACGTAGCCAGAGGGGTTAGCCCTCAGACATTGTAAACCCTCCTACCCTCACCACATAGTCATTTCCCGCCCTAATAAATGTATTATTTGTATACGAAAACTGAAAATCTTGGTTTAATTTAGACTTCCTCCCCCTATTTCATAATTTTGGCTACGCCACTGCCAACAGCTGTAGAATATAATATATATATATTTACAGTAAAGAATAGATTTTTGATAAAAATCGAGACAATAGGTGAACTTCAGAGGAATCAGTTTCTTCAATGTGTCAATAATATTAATCCCACCAAATTCGGCAGTCACACTTTCTTGTTTTCTATCAATAAACTTTTAGTCTTATGATGTTTTCCTATACAATAAAAACCAACTAATACTACCTAAGTTTCAATATTGTATTCTAAGCTTCTTTTCTAGGTTATGGGAGAAAAATAATTTTGATTATAATTAAGAACCTAGAGAAAGGGATAATGAATACAAATCTTATGACAACATTTAAATCGGATCATTAGTACCTACATGAAAAAATCTTTCCCTCTCAGCAGTTTCCACTTGTAAACCCGTAGGTTTAGGGGGGGGGGACCTTGATGAACATTCAAAATATTTTCGAATTCAAAGAGATTTTTACTTTTTAACTCTGTCACGCTAACACACTACTCAACTACTCGTATAATAGAGGTTCCACGAATACTACATTTTGTCAATATTCCAAAATATTGTCTGCAGCCTTAATATTAAATAATATTTAATTTCACACGACCCATATCGTAAGTCATAATATTACATTGGCGTTTCTATAGGAACGTGCCACGAACACTACACGATGGGACCGTGCCAGGAACGCGGGGGAATATTCCTGCCAGGAGGCCAGTGCGGATGCGACCCGTCGCTGCCGCACTTCCACAACGGCACTGGCAAGTGCTACCAACTGGGCGGCATCGGACCCTGCTCCCCGGGACACCAGTTCCTGGTGCCGGCCGGCGGTTCCAAGGCCGAGTGCACGTGCAAGGAGGGCCACATAAAGTGGTTCGGGGACGGCGCGTGCTACAGACCGTACACGCGCGGGCCGTGCGCCGCGGGCAACATGTACAGCGTGAACACGACGGCCACCGGCATGGCGGTCGGATGCGTGGACTTGCCGTGCACCGCGGGCAAGCTGTACTTCCCGGGCGGCAAGGGCTGTCACCGGGTGGGCACGCAGGGCCCTTGCCCGTCCGGTCAGATCGTCCTGTTCCAGGACACGGTCAAGACGTCCATCGAGGGCGTGTCGTACCTGGGCATGTGCGGTTGCGCCAACGCGGACGCCGCGGCCGGCACGTTTTACTCGTCGTCGCAGGCGCTCACCTGCAAGCCGCCGGCCGCGGCCAGGAAACTGCAGCAACAGCAGCACGACGCCCGTGGTACAGGCGGCGCAAGCCCGCGGCGGGCGGACGCACTGCTGCAGCCGCAGGACCCGTGCGGCCACCGTCGCGGCACCGTCGCCTGGACCGATCTGTCGTGCAAGCAGCTGTACCTGCAGGGGCCGTGCGAACCCGGCGAGTGGGTGGTGCCGGACAGGGCCAAGGGCACCAGGAAGGGCAGGGGCTGGAAGATGGGCAAGTGCGAGTGCCGGCCCGGGTTCACGGCCGTGCCGGTGCCGGGCGACGTCAACAACGCCACGGCGTGCCAGCCGCCGACGGTCACGCTGGCCAAGTTCCTAAACATGAGCGAAGAGTTCAACCACAATCACAACCACAACAACAACAACAACAACAACAACAACAACAGCGCCACGACCGACGAACGCGGTGACGGCAACGGCGACGACGACGGCGACGATAACAATAACGGTAACAACAACAACGGAGTCCGGACGCGATGATTACAATATTATTATAATATATTATTGGTCTCTGGAACGAGGCGTGAACTAAATTAAATATCATATTATGTCAAGACTGCAAAATATATTATTATTATATCATCCTACATATAATATATTATTTATAATAATGAATCATAAATATTATGATGAATGTAGCAAGACGTTGAGTCGGAGGACCGATGACATTTTTAAGTCGGAATTTCGGAAAATCGTCAAACCACTTAGTTTTAACTAACTGTACACCTTGTACGTATGTTAGTATTATTATATTAGGTATTTTTTTTTTTTTAATTTGTAAACCTAATTTTTGTAAATATAATCTGCTATATATCTTGACATTGACCCTCATATTACCCCTATAGCTACGCATAAAAAACTGTAGCAGTGATTCTTTAACGGTTTTGAAAATATTTTTTTTACATAGGTACCTGCTTTGAATTTATTACAAATATTTTCAAGAAAAAAAAACGATTTTTACATCTTTTTTATCGTTATCAATTTTTTAATTTTTTACATTTTTCAATGAAAATATACATTTTTATTTTTATTTGTTTTAAATTATGACCATCGTCGAATTTAAGAACTTTTTATTTTTTTTTCGTTTAGAGCCCACCACAAAACATTTTTTTTTTTTTTACTTGTACGAATCCTCTTGATTAGTCTTTATAAATTGTTTTTATTTTAGTAATCACTCAATATGAATTGTGATTTGTGACTAGTGTGTTTACTATCTAAGTAGGTTTGCCGATTTGTACATTGTATATATCTTAACATCAAGTAAATCTGTATTATTTCATACAGTAAATTGATGTACGGAGAGGCCATTAGTATAAAAAGGAGTCATAAATTCAAAAATCATAATTTAACTTTTTTCTGAAAATTTATCGACACAAATTTTTTATGATGGCGTATTAGCTCATATATTATTTTCCTATACCTACTATATAATATATATTATAATAATTTAATTAGGTACCTATGATCTATATATATCATATATACACGTAAAGTCTCCATAACGCAGAGGTGCAGCGATAATTAAATTAAGTTTTTACTATTTTTCATAATAATGGTACCTGTTATATAAATTGTAAAAGTGTGACTATAAGTCTATAAATATGGCCCAATTATAATAAAAACAAACATAAAAAGTTAATCGAGGGGTAATTTAAAAAAAAATCTAAATGCATCAACATAATGAATTTTTTGTATTTTGTATTTGTGTAAGATAGTTATGTAAGTTTTTTAAGTAAGAAAATAATGTTACCAACAAAACCATAGTGACTGTATGTATTAATTAGTAATAATAAGTTTTTTGATTAAAAAAATAAGTGTACAATATATGTCTTATGTTTTTAATAAACTGCTGTGTAATATATTTCGTAGAGATGCGTATTACATTATTGATATTATTATTGCGCACTGATCGTGCCGTGTATGTAAATAATATAAAATATATTATGTTGTAAATTAAATTAGGTATGTATAGGTACGTATATTATATGAAAGTAGCCAGTAGGCACCTGTAGGCTTTGGTTTAGATAAGTAGACATTCGTTATTTTGACCTTGCAGCAATTTGTTGTATTATGTAAATACGCCGGAGTCGGGCAGACTACAACAATGCGCAAATGAATATGGTTAGGATGCGAATAGAAGCAATAATGCACGCGAACACCAACGCCTCTTATTTGAATTTAGTAGAATGATATTTACAAAATTACAAATGAGACAATTTTCGGACGAACATGAGAAATCTTCACAAAGTCTGTATATAGACTAACCTAACTTAACTGTGTATTATAGTGTACTACCTAAGTGGGTATACTTTAATATAAATACGTGTCCATATACATAATAATACCTACATGGCGGGTACCGACAATAATAACGATAATTTTATTAGCATTTATGTGTAGGTAGTAGGTACCCATATGTACATGACAGCAAAGACAAACTTTCCAATTTATCTATTTGATATTTTTAGAGAAATATCACGAAAAACATTCATTATATTTGAACTGAAATATGCATGAAAACCAATTTTGAACAGTGAATGCTTTCACTTATATCTATAGTATTTGCGAGTGTGTAGCATTATACGATGTCATCATGCCAACGTTATTGCTCTGCCCTTTCGCATCGGAACTAGTGGGAGGTTAGGAATTAATATGTATTCACGTCGAAGGTTCCCGTTTCCTGCTTGGGTAGTTACACATGAGTAATCTTTAAAAGAACAACTGACGCCTAATAGTGCAGTATAGTACTATAGTGACGAACAAAACGCCTACATTACAATAATAACTATCCGTCGCTCGTCGGACGAAGTTTCTAAATAATTTTATTAAATTTTATCGTAGAACAATTGCGTAAAAACTAGATGTTAACTAAAATTACTGCTCAGTTAAATTAAAATTCATAGGATTTTTTCAATAAGTTATAGCGCATATTATAGTGATTGTAATTGCATATATTCTTAAACGCTTTAAATATTATGTAAAGTAAAAAATATCGACAATCGTCGTAAAGCGTACAATAGAATATAATATTATAGACGTGAATTATTAAATGTATTAAACGTGACTTTAAAACTGTCAAATCCTTCCTGCTTCAGGTTTCAGGTAGTTACACATGAGCAATCTTTAAAAAAAACAACTGACGCTTAATAGTGAATAATAGAGCGGACCAACACATGGACCTCAGATGTTTGGCTCTTCTTAGAAGACATAATAATAATACATAGTAAATATCAAGAATAAGGCGATGAAAGGCGGCAATAGTCGGTCATATCGCCGACAAATAATAATAAATTATACTAAATTAATATTAATCTGTGAAGTGATAACATGTTAAATAATAGTAATAACATCTTGCTGTAAAATAAAATATGAATTATAATTTTTTTTTTGGCAGCCCCCAGTTTTTGTATAAATGTATACATTGGCCCGCCAACTACAAAAAGCATGACCCGCCCTCCCCCTCCCCCTGTGTATAATGTAGTGACAAAAATGCCTTCATTATACAATAATTTATTGTCAGCTGACTAAGTTGTTGAATATGTTTTTTTAATTGCATCGAAGAAAAAAATGTGTAAAAACTATGTACGGTTAATTGACCATTCCAATGTGAGAATTATTTGGAATTAATCACCCATTCATTTTTCATAATACTTGTATTTTGATATACTCTGCAGTCTTACTCGAATTAGTAATAACTGCAGTCATATGACTATAACCAAAACATTTAAATGAATGTAATTAAAATTTGTTGGCTTCTGTCATAAGTTGTAGTGATTGTTAGTAAAACATTTCAAGTATTTTATGTTAAGTGAAAAATATCGGCAATCGTCGTAAATTGTACAGTAGACTGTTGTGTGAATTATTAATTTTATTATACGTGGCATTAAAACTGTCAAATCCTTTAAATACAAATAGCCATATAGGTACCCCGTTTCACGCTTGTATAAAATATACAATAATTATTGTGTATTTGTGTGCATATGAATATATATAATAACAAATACGGCTATACTTATAGTTTAAGTTTTAATATCTAATAAATGGTATCTACATTCTATAACACGATTACATACCTAATCATACGAACGCATTTCTTTTGAGTCAATTTTTTTTTCTGTAAATAGCTGCAGCTATATTTCCTCAAACAATTGTTTAACATGTTTTTGACTATTGCGTGGGTTCATAAAATGTAATAAGCGGAAAATGTTTAAGAAAAATTATGTACAAATATTTCAACCATAGCCAAATCCAAATCGTTATTGTTAAAAACACATGAGAAGTTATAAAATATCACACATGTCCACGCATCGTAGGCGATTTACCGCAGTGACTCGGTTTGAACCGTTTATGGTTACTCATCGGTTTTAAGTGGTAAAAATGTAAAATACGACTACGTTATGTTATATTTAAATGTTAGTAACTATACCTACTAAATTCGAGTGTTTCAACACAACGCATGCTGCCGGATTTGATAGAGACGGCGGCGATCCCACTAGACAGTTTTTTTTCACACGTTCGACCTTCATTAGCGTTTTGGTAACTTTGATACGATATTAATAAAAACCTGCTGTCTGCAGACTGCATGTGCAGTTGTATGCATTTATATTTTATAGATTCTGAGTTTCACTCTGTAACCAAAGCTGTTGATCATAGACATTAACTATTTAGAGCTCTTAAAGGTTGATAAAAATAAATAACGCCACTAAAAATTGTGTTAATTCTCACAAAATAAATATTATCACTTGAAATATTTCTTTTTAACATTAAAATTGAGGGTTCTGTTATTTGACTGTTTCCCTCCCCCTCCTCATACTATATCGTTATGACGTCATGTAAATAATAATTATCCTTATATTATATTTGCTTATTGTATAAATGTTATAGATTGTACATATTCTATTTAAATAAAAAAAAAAATTGAAAATTAATATTTTTAGTATTCTTAAATTATAATAGATTCTAACGAAACTCATACACAAATGTAGATTATTTGATTTTCATTCGAAATCAATTTAATTATTGAAAATGCAATATAATATAGCTCATATGGGTGAGACTATAGACTTCATCCACAGCCGCAGCCTAGCTATAATGACCGGCGCAATACTTTAACGAACCAAAGAAAGACCTATACGCCGAAGGCCGTATTTTTTTAAAGCTCCCCGCCCAGAAAGTCTGTATTATAAAATCACATTCAATATAGTATTTTTAGTACCTTTAAAGAATAAATTTAACTCCAAAAAATATTATTCATCTATGGTCTATAGCACTGGATTACAACACCTAGCTACAAATCAAAAAAGCGGGTAAGGGGATGTCACTATGTTGTACATTAGGTGTGTGGAAGGTCACTGTAATGGATGGTATTACATTTGAATTCAATGATATCAAGTCATTGTACCTATACGAAAAACTATTCTGAGCGGAGACGGTATGTCAGTTTAGGATATTTTATACCTATTGTTATTACTTAAATAATATGGTAGCCGGTAAGTTCAATTAATATTATTCTTAAACTATCAGTGATGCTGGAAAAATATTAAATATACCTATGTAAAATTGGGCTGTTTTGGAACCGAATTACAACAAAATGATAAACGTTATTCTTTGTGCAAATATGCAATTTTGTATAAATTTGAACTTAAAATGTCTGTAAAAAATAACTGTATTCATATATTTTTAGATTTCTTAGTTAGTAAAAAAACTGCTTAAGTGGAAACCTTGTTTTAAATTTTCATCCTTAGCTACAAAAATTGAAAATGTTATACATTTTTAACAACAGAATCATTTTCAATTTGATAAATGTTATCAAAATTTGAGCTTTCAATGCTTATAAAAAAAAATTGTGCCAATTTATTTTTAATATGTTTCAACTGCTATTGTTGCAATATATCAAGAGTCTTGTACTAAATTTTCATGCTTTTGATCCAACCAATAAAATTTTATTGACATTTATAGAATAAAAACGAAAATTGAAAAT